TCCTAAGCATAACGTTGATTATCAAAACAAACCTAAAAGAATTATTTTTAAAAATTTAGAAAGAATCATTTGACTATAAGTACACTAAATTTTTTAATAAACACCAGAAACTTTCACTTACAGCTGACTCTTAAACTTGCAAATAAGTACGCATTATTCGTACAAAAATCTGGGACCTGTGAAATCGATTTTCTCATGATTATGCAACAGGAACTTTTAAAGCAGCTCTATATGTTACTAGAAAGCTAACCGTTGCGGGATGAGTCCCCTAAAGTTTCAAAATGCCGAACCCACACCCAGTTAAACCCTAGCCCAGAAATCATTAATTTTCAAAAGACTTATACAAACCCCGTACCTTTTTATAACACTCTTAGGAACAAAAAAAGGTGAAATATATTTCAGTACCGAAAGAATCAGCGATCCGTCGATATCTCACCGTCCACCCAATTTTTGTGCCCTGACAAGCACCCAACAAGGCATCGGACACCAGAACTAGAAGAACTGTCTTATGCCAGCGAATACAACTGCCCTTCTTCGCCGCCGTGATAGTCATATCCCAGACGACCTCCAAAAAATGTGCCCACAACTGTTTTTCTTGCTTACACCTGATGTTACTCGCATCCCCAAAGCTAACAGTGAAATACCGTTAACATGAAAAGATTTTGTTTCAGCTCTCAAATAACTAATACGTATTTTCAAAAAGCAATCTCTCACAATGCTGTCTCTCACGCTAAAAAGCACAAACCTTGTGATAGGCAGAAAAACTGGAAACCTCTTCACAAATTAATTCTGAGAAGAGCACCTTAGCAGAATGATACTTGAAGTAAACCAGAAATTTCGCTCCAAAACTTAACATTCCATCAACTCAAGTCCCTCCCGATAAAGAAAAAATATAATGCAAACAACCTTATATGAACAAACAGTTTAATTAATAAATTAAAAGCCCACACAATAAATATGCAGTAACATGACGAAGTCTACACTACAACTCTTCATCTAGAAGAAAAAAGAAGTGAATACACAATGTTTTATTATTACAATGCCACGTTGAGACTGAGATCAGCAGAAGAATGCTATTAGTGACTGTGTCAAGTAATTTTACATATATAGAGAGAACTTCGTTCAGCATTATACAATTATGTACAGAACTGAAAAGTACAGTCATTCCGACGCCTCATATCGCTTCGACACAGGACGCACCTTACTGACCCCGTTCACCTTAAAATAGGTCAGACAGTTCAACAATACATATGTCGCACAACAAAAGAATTCAAAAAAGATGAAGCTGGTAACAACAGTGAAGTTCAACTTACATAAGCCGAGTAACGACTTCGTGAGATCAGTTTCCTGTAAACTACCCTTATTCGTCTCACAACCAACTATGCTACTTTTTCTTTTAACAACAGCGTTGTCTTCTTCACTTGATGAAACGTCTGAAGTGCTCGCAAAATCTTCGATTTGAAATTTACATTCTTCAACCCCCATAGCAAGCGAATCCTTAACATAGGAATCTCGACGAGGCTGTTTTTTGCAACGATCTACATCAAATATTTCGCAAACACGAACCTAAAATCAAAGAGTTTTGAAAACCTGAATAAACTGCAAATAATCGGAAAGAACGTCTTCATAACAATAAACAATAATTTAATAAGGAAGACGCAGCAAACCGCACCTCATTCTTCTCATTCAAGTAACTGTAACTTAGAAGAGGATCATGGTCTTTCGCGTAATCGGTAGCTTCATCTACAGAAACAGCACTTTTAGTAGTTGCAGCTGGTTCCACATTGCTTGTGGAAGCGCGAGTAGCATTTCGGGTTAACTAAAAAGAAAGAGAATGTTAAAGGAATATTTTCATCGAAAAATTATTTGACTTCCAACAGCGTAATTCAAAATAATACTAACCTTCTTCTCAAACAGCTGAGAATCATGTTTCCTCAGCATAACGTACTCTTCCTCTGCCTCCGCAGACGGTTTCACATTTAATACAATATCATCTGGAAAACTTCTGCAGGTGTTAAAGGACGTTACATCTACTTCAGTGATAGCCAGTTGGCAAGTAAGCCTGAAATGACTCATTTCCCTAAATATTTCATAATAAAATAAGAAAAATAAACTTAAGTATTCTAAACTGAAAAAAAAAAGCTTCACATAAAGGCATAAAAGATTACTCTTATCTTTACCTTGCGCTGTATAACGCTCTTTGACACTCTATTTCTCTCAATAAAAAGCTAACAAGATTTCGCAACTTGTTAGCAAACCACCAGTTAGAATCTTCATCCTCCAGCCACTTAGTTATGCTAAAAAATTGAAATTGCTTCACCCACTTAAGTACAGGCTGTTCATAGAAAAATACTATGGGCTAATAACGTAACCTACTTTTTACAAAGAACCATAAAGACTTCAAAAGGAAGAGTAAATGGTACAGTTGCAGTCCTGAACCATCGAACCAATCGGAAACTGTTAATATACCCAAAGAATGAATTATCATTATATGCTTCTTCGATCACTGAAAAACCAAATCAGATGTGAAACACATCGTGTTATAGCCAATAATTAAAAATAAATGAAAACAGCTACAAAACGAGCCAGACCTTTCCGAAGAACATCAGGAAAAAGATCAGCAATTTGGCTTGAAACTCTTGAGTTGAGGCTTCCATCCTTCTGAGCACTCAAACGATTTGGCTTCGACCTTGACATTAAAAGAAAAGTTAACAAACCTGGTAACATTCAGTAAAATCGTTAAAAGCAAAAGTAAAATTAATGCCATTCCAACGAGCCAAGTAAACGCCTACACTTCACTCAAGGGGGCTGGTTTCACCGAGTGAGCTGCACTACGGCTTCTAACTAAAGGAGGACATTCGGGAGGACAAATGTTCGCATTTGAAAGTATTGTTAGACAACGCGCGTCCGATGTTAGTTCTGAACATATTTGTAATAAGCAAAGGGAAATTACAAAAACAGCTACAAACTTAGAGCAATATATGACAGATATAAAGTTTAAAAATCATATCCGTAGTAAGCCCGCAAATATTTCTTAAAAGTGAACCAACTTACTGTTTTTAATACAAAATCTCAAGGCGTCCTCGAATCCTTGTCTACAAATGCGTGAACATACTTCCATCGAAGGTGGCATTAAACACACTGTTAAACGATAGAAGTTTCTGAAGGTGAATCGAATAGACGTGCCAGCAAAAGAAAACCCAAACAAGCTAAAAACAGCAGTAATTAAACGAACTCAGTTAATTTTCGCTTAAAAACCTAGAAGTCTCGAGTGCAAAATTAAGGTTTTACAGGAAAAAACACCTTTTAACCATAAACCTCCCCAAATTACAGCCTTTTATTACCCTTTAGGGTGCGCAAATTTCTTACAACACGGCCCGCTAAAGGTTGTATAAAACATTCTAACCTTTCTCCTACTAACCCTTTTTCTTGGCAGCTGAAAGCTGCACAACTTCTAATACGATGTCATTCAATTTCAGAAACAGCTCTTCTCTCATATTCAGTAACTAACTGTAGGAACCTATATATTAGAATCAGCTAAACAACAGGTTCAGGGCGCAAAACCATACTTCGCACTATCCAAATCTGGTGGACAAATATCTGATTCTCCAGAAAATGGGGAAACTGTCACGGTGTTTTCGTCATAGATTGGTTGATTGTCTGACCAACCTCCATCGAAATACCGTTTCCCTCGGAATAAAGGGAACTTCCGGCCACAGTAATATGGAATAAAGCAACTGCAGCATATTGCCTGTAATAAATGAGGCCATTTGACTAATTAAAAAATCCACAGCTCTGCACATATCTTACTATTAAAAAGAACAGACTTCAAGCAATTATCCGCATGATTCTTATATGAAGATAAATGATGTAAATATTACTTACCTGTATCAGTTCAGCTTTACTCTCAAATTCCGAAACAACCACGTTATTGTGTTCGATTTCACTGGTTAATGAGATCTGCAGCCGACCAGAACAAATTTCATGGGCATTG